CTAATTTTTGCTAGTTCCATAGACTGTTCTGCTTTTCCAAGTATGCAGAAATGTGATCATTCCTTCAAACCGGCCTATCATTCAGTGTAAAAAAAAGAGTTCCGTTTTTCACATACTATTCTACTGACCATGCACCTTTTATACACCTCTTTCCTAAGGATGCACATTCTTGCATGTTATTATCCCAAATCGACATACTGCTATAAGCATTGTTTGACCCAAGAATTGCACTGGAGAATGTAAAAAAAAAAAAAAAGTACATTATCTGAATAACAACTACCGCTCTGATTTGTACAGTAGTTGATGAAGTACAAGTTCCTTAAGACCTGGTTCTATTCTCAGCCCTGAGGTTAGGGTGTTTGGGGAGGACTGTTTTTTCTGAACATTGGGGAATGCTGTTTCAATCCAGGGACTCATGTTGTTTTAGCTGTGTTTTTTACCTTTATGTGTTGGATATGTTGTAAGCTACCCAGTGTCTTTTTAAAATTGGGCAACCTTAACAAATCCAATAAATAAGCAAACAAAGAAATGTTATCTCAGCTTAAAAATGTGGGCCAAGTATTTTCGTATGGCAAAGCTCATATAAAAACGACAATATAGAATCTTTCAGAGCCTTCTGCCATGAACTGGATCCTTCATGGATGGGACAACAAGAACATGTACTCTTGATGGTGTATTATCTTTTACCTGATTGTCTGCTTCATGATTCTCCTCTAGAGGATTTTCAGCAGTTCTCTTTTTTTCCATTCGGCATGTAGTCACTTGTGGCAGTTGCAATAGGGCAGGCCTTAACACATCTCTTTGTCTGGTGCTTGTTGGAAGACCTTGAAAAATAGAAAGCAAAAGGGATTTGAATTTATGCCATTCTTTCCTGATGTATAGTCTTCTTATACTTGGGTTTCTTAAACATTGCTCTTCCAAGTGAAAAATAGAATTTCATGATTGCAGTAGTACCTGGATTTCTCTATTATTCTCCCTCTAGGACCATGGCAGCTGGATTTCCTTCATGTTTTGCAAATATTTTGCAGTCCTCTTTTTCCTTGCCTATGTGCACCATTGTAACATCTTTTATACCCTATTTGAAGATGTAAATATATAGGAGACAAGTGCTTAAATAAGCACCTGCTTAAATAAAGTATGGCACATGCCTACATGGATATTTAAGGAGGACTGAACTTTCATGCATCATGTATCAGAATCACCTGCCTGCTACACAGTCTAGAAGGCTTGCAGGCAAGGATTCAAGGACACAGTTCTTGATAAGCTAGTCTTATGACAGATATTAAAAAAGCTGTAATTGGAATAGAAAACCAGCAGCTGAAAGCTATAAGATTTAAGCCATACACAAAGTTGAAATCTTACGTCTCTTTCTCCTGGTTGTTTGTGACAGACCAAGAGCTGGTTGTTTCTCTGTGGGAAGAGTGGTTGACAGCAGCATTCACCAAGGAAACAAAATGCTCACTCTGATAAAAGCAGCATAGTGTCACCACAAGCCCTGCTCTTTTATACATGCGTTGTGAAGTCAAACTCATCCAAAAGAGGTAGAGTGTACAGTATGGCACAATGGTACAATGCTACTTCCATCATCTTGATGAAAACAGCCAGAGCTGTGGATGGTCATGGATTGATATCTGAGCATTGCCAGTTTTTCCCAATCTTTTACCTTTTCTATTTCCTTCTCTACCAGTTTTACACATGGAATGGGGAGAGAATTGTTACATTTAAATAATTCTTCTTACCTTGTTCTGTTGCTTTCACATCAACACACTCTTCTAATAGGCCTGAAGTCATGAATACATTGTTCTTCTTTACTATAAAGCAAATGTTTGTCCAAAATGTTCAACAAAATTTATGTTCTGTTCCCATGTGTTTCATTATACCAGCCTTCTCTAGCCTGATGCCCTTCAGTTATATCATGCTTCAGTTCCCAAACTCCTCAACGGATGCCCAGAAGGCACCAGACTGCTGTACTGTAAGCTTCATCTTCTCAAACTTTTCCAACACTTTTAATATTTTTTGGCAAGGTTGGCATCCAGTCCATTTAAACTCATCAGAACTCTCTTACAGAGATAATTGACCGAAGGGACTGGCCTGAACATATGGAGTACCCTTGTCAAAAGCAGTCTCTGAAGCCAGCAAGCTGATGGGGATAACAGATGACAGGGAAGCTGGAGCCAGCCAGAGACTAATTGTGGTACAATAATTTAATTTATCTTAGCAGTAGTCTAATACTGATATCCTATTTTCTGTCAGAACAATAAACTGGCACAAGAAGAAAACTAATCTGAATGAGCATAATTTAAAAAATGCAGTCTCTCAAAGACGGAGAAAAAAGAAAAAGAAAAAGGGAAGGAAGGAAGGAAGGAAGGAAGGAAGGAAGGAAGGAAGGA